GACATGACCCAAAAGATCGACCTCCTGCAAGAAAATGAAAAACGTTTACAAGCCGAACTTGAGGAGAGCAAACGTGGAACAAACGAACAATCAAAATTAATAAACGAGTTAAAGCAGCAGGCGGAGATTTACCAAGACAAAATAAAGAAAGAGGAAGCTGCACTTTACAAAGAAAGAAAAGAAAATGTCATCCTTGGATTAAACTACACTGTATTGATTGAACAATTTGAAAAGCTGGAGACACAGAAAGAAACTCTGATGGAGAAATCAGAGGAGGACACGGCGCTGGTGGAGAAAATAAGAAAGGAGTACGCCATCCTCCAACGCAAAGCAAACCAGGACGCCAAATTCCTGAAGAAAAACGCAAAGATTTTAAAGAAAGAATTGGATGAGAGCAAAACATTTTACAACAAGCTCAAACTTAAATTTAACATGGATATTTCTGGATTGAAGGAGGAGATGGAAAGATGTAAACAGAAAGTACAACAAGAGAAAGACGCCTCATTGCAATCAGCAACTGAGAAGCAGCAGCTCATCGACAGCCTGCGACAGGAAAACGCCGTCCTGGAGGAAAACACACGGCGAGAAATCCAGGTCCTCCAGGACAAGGACAGAAATGCACAGGATGAACTGGAGACGCTCAGAGTTTTGTTCAAGGAGCTGCAGTGTTCTTACATTCAGGATGTTAATATGTTGAAGACACAGGCAGAGCAGTTCCAGGAAGAAATAAACAGAATGAAGCAAGAATTGGAGACAACCAGAGATAAACTGCAGCCAGACACTGAGGAAGATCAGCATGAAGATCAGGAAACTACAGTTTCACAACAGCAGGAGGAAAAGAACCGGGTCGACCCGGTTATGGATTCTAGTCATCATATTTCCTCGGAGGAGGATTTAGCAAGAGAACCAATACCAGGATGTTCAAATGAACTGGAATCCATACAAGACGACATCGATGAGGAAACCATCCAGCAGGATTTAGAGACTCCAGATATGAACAGCAAACAAGAAGGAAAGAAGAAAAAACCAAAGACTCCAATTTGGAAAAAAATTCGAAACATCTTTAGATTGAAGAAGACAAAAAAAACAACACAGGAGTGAATTCAATAAAAAACGAGGCCTGTGGCGATTCGGCCTGTTATGATAACAGATTTTACTGAGCGATTTAATCATCTCAAAAATTATCGCGATAAACTATAATATTGTTTGAAGATCTTTTCACACTGATTTAATGGATATTACATAATAATACATGCGACTTCCTGCCACAGATAGATACACTTTACTTTCAAAACAACACAGAGGAATCCTGAACAGCTGACACGGTGCAACCCGAAGTCCAGCAGACATCGGAGATGATATGTGGAAACATGAATGTTTAACCAACATTTCATGCAAAGAAAATATAAATAACTCGGGGAGGAGTTGGAGCGAAATTTCTACCAGAAAACCTGGTAACTTTTCAGCTGTTCTTCGTTAAGGTGACATAAAATGGTTATAATGATTTTCATTCAGTCAGACTGACACTCGCTACATGCATTGATGGTAGATTGTAGTAAGGAATTGATTAAGGTTTCTAAATTAGTGAACTGGATTTATTATTTTGTGTCCATTGTTGGACACAACACGGATCGATCGAACCGTTATAGCCAGGATTTCTGTCGGCTGATGTGTCTCTCAGGTTTTGATAATGGCCGACAATCGGCGACATCAGATGGTGCAGCGCGCGCTGGGCGTTACGCTAAGGAAGTAAGGAAGGGAGGGTCAGTGGAGAGCAGCGGAGTTTCATTCAGTGTCATCAACAGTAAGAGAAAAAGGCAGGAAGAAACGTCTTTGCACCACATTGTTCTCATTTTCTCATGTTAAAAAACAACATTCTTCTTCTCTCATTTCCCTTTCTTACATAATTTATATGTTACTTAATATTCATACAGTTTCACACATACATGCACATTTTCACGTCCCCTCCATGGCTGCCACCTTATCATGGTGGGGGTTTGAGTGTCCCAGTGATCCTAGGAGTTCTGCTGTCGGGGCTTCATGCCTCTGGTTGGGCCACCCGATGCAGACGGGTCCAAGGTGAGGAACCAGACCAAGTGCAGCCCAAAGATCCTCATGATGAATACGACCTTTGGAAACAGGGGTCGTATTCGCCCGAACATGGGGTCCCACTCTGGAGAGGCCTGAGGGCCCATAGAGCCCAACCGGGTTTTAACCCATGGAGCCCAACCGGGTCGGGTTTTAACCCATGGATCCAGGCCGGGTCGGGTTTTAACCCATGGATCCAGGCCGGGTTGGGTTTTAACCCAGGGATCCAGGTCGGGCTCAGCCCAATGAGAGCCAATCTGTTCACCACCTGTGGGGTGAGATTGAGAGGTTCCGGCTAGAAATAGTCAGACTGACTTCAGTGGACGGTTCTGGTTCTGGAGCCAGTCTCCTTGAAAGGGGTTGGATGTTCTCCACTCTGGGGTTGGCCCTTGTGAGAGGCGCTGGGCAGGAGGGGGCATATTTGTTGCCTCCCATCTTGTTCACTCCAACGCACCAAGAGGATAGTCTCTCCCTCTACATATGGGTTTGGGTCGGGTTCTGGCTACTAGTCCAGATTAGCCACTGTTCTTGGAGAATCTCTGAAGAAGAAACTGAGCACAACTTCCTTCTTCACTAAACATAAATAAAAATGGAGGCCTCAGATTTTAGCAGTTGTAGAATTTCTTTTTGCCTTTGGAGATTTAGAAATCAGTCGTTATAGATTATAGATTTAGTTTTTTACTTTTTCCATGATGTTTACATCTATTTATTATAAATGTTGCTCCCCACTGATTTTTCCTTTACGCAAAATAAAATAAAATGTTTGACTGAACCAGTAAAATTAACTTTCCAAAGAACAGATATTGAAAAAAGTTCACATGAGGTTATCATATATGCTACATGTGTCAAACTGAAGGCCCGAGGGCCAAATCTGGCCTGTCCAAATTTTCACAAATAACTGCAAAATTCACACAAAAATCAACAGATCCCCACATTTTTTTCTGATTTTATCAACATTTTGATGAGAGAAAAAGGCAGGAAGAAACAATAAAGCCGATAATTGAAATGAGGTCGATAGTTTTAATTTATCGTGTGATTAATTGATTTATCCCGACAGGCGTGGGATCTACCTCTGAAGCCGCTGGATTTTAACCTGAATCTCTTTGAGTTTGGAATTATTTAGATTATATATCTCGATACAAACCCGCAGTTTCACTGCACACAACACAAAATCTTACCAAATATTTCTGGTCTAGTTTCTCATGAGATATTTTAGCTCACTTGAAAGTTGACAAAACTAACTTGCAAGTAACTTTTTAGCAAGTTATACGAGCTTGTTTCCTTAATGAAATAAATGAGAAATACTAGTTTCACTGGCAGATTATTTCACTTATGACATTTTTCCGTGTTATGAGCGAAACAATCTGCCAGTTAAATTACAACATTTTATATCAATATTCCAGAATGGCCGGCCTAAACAGAGCTCTTATATTTTTCTGAGAAATTACTTGTATGTTAGCGTTTTTTATTTCGACTGTACAAATATATCTCCACTAGAAACTAGAACAAAAATGGGTGGCAGGTTTTTGTGTTGTTTTGGTATTTTGAATTTGTGTTGCGATGACGGTGTGAACCGGAACTGAATAAAAACTAAAAAGAAATCATTAGCCAGAACTTTGAGGTAGGAACTGTTGCATCAGTAAATAAACCTAATGCGAGTCTCAAATATTAGACATCGCAGTGATGTGTGTCGCTACACTCCGAGCGTTAAAACTCACGGCTGGTCTCAGTGGTGGAGCTCTGCGGTCTGATCTGCTGAGGCAGGAGGCAAGAAGTCCGGGCAACTGGAGGAAGAAGAGGTGAAAACCAAACTATAACACTGATACCACTGATAAATATACCCCCAGTAACTCTGATCTGTTACAACAGAGAACCTCCAAACATCTCTTTAGCTGCTGGGTTAGCTAAACCGAAGGTCAGTCTGAGATTTCGCGGTTAAAAACCAAACTTGGCAGTTAAATTAACATATTAAGTAATGGAGGTGGAAATAAAAGCATACAGACTGTGTTCATAAATGAGTTCTTAAGTACACTTACGATTAAAGCTCCGTCCGAAACCTCCACGGACAAACCTAACTAGCGACGCCGCCATGTTTACACTCTGCTGCTGCCCTTTACGTAAAGAGGCTGAGTCGCCCCCTGAAGGCCGGGAGGAGAAAACGCAGGCAAGTGAATTACAATTAATAAACAAGTGGGTGGAGTAACCAGAAATTGTACTCAAGTAAGACCAGAAGAACTTTAATATATTTTTGCGCAAATAAAGTAAGAAGAAGCCATCTCTGAAATTACTCAGCAGAGCTTTTGTAAGAACAAGAAGTCTCTCTTCAACATAAACTGTAGGTTTGTCTCTGCTGCATTTTTGGTTAAAACATGTTTATTCTTCATTTACTTAAGCTACTTGAACAACATGGGATATATGTGAAATTTAAGGTGGGACCATGTCTTTTCCTTTTTTCACAACGTCACTTAAAAATAAAAAACACATGGACCTAAAGGATAAATCCAAAATATTGTTAGTTTTGAATGAACAAAAATAAATGCACAAGATGTTTCTTCCAATTTTGGATTCAAAACAAACGTCAGTGCTTGAAATTAGTTGTACTTCATTCCACTAAAGGTTGCATTTTAAACAAAATGCTTAAATGCAAAACTTGGAATAATGTCTAACAGTGTAATGTCCTGCAGAATGAATATTTAATTACTTTCATCAGTTTCAGAATAAATCAACTCTACGACTTGTTCAAACCTTAAATCTGTTCTCAGATAATCCATTGAAACAACACGGGGTCTGATGAACTCACAATGTGCTCATTTTAAGGAATATTGTGGTTTGAAAAAGCATTTAAAAAAGTTTTGACTGGTCAGTTTTCCAAATAAACATGAAATGCACACAACAAAAAAACAGGTCAACACTTTAGTTACAAATATTTATTAGCCTTCATCTGCTTTATTTTTATATCCTTTGACAAATATAATGAAATAAAAATTTTCCATGGTACAAAATCTCTGCTCTAGTAAGTTACCAATTCCATTTTCCATAGTATTGTTCCACTTTTCAGTTGAAAGTAAAAAGCGAAAGAGTCACAAAACAGAATTGTAAGCTTAATTGTAAAAACAAACAATTTTCATGTAAAACACACAAAACCCTGACTTCAAAACAAATACATGAACAAGTGAAAATGGAAAACTTTGAGATTGTGTGAGAACAACACCACCTTCTCTCAGCCCAGTTTTCATCCTGAATGTGAATGTTTGACCCTCCGCCAGGCTGGTTTCTCAGCTGGAAGCCCCACACACATCCTGGTAGTATTTCCTGAGCATCTCCCGCTGAGCCGAGCGCACCAGGATGTGCGGCCTGATGGACGCCAGCCGCTGACAGGCTTCTTCTGGAGTCCAGCTGTGGAGCTGTCAGAAGAAAAAACACCTCAGACCTTTACCAATTTAAACAATGAAACAAAAAAAGGTCTGAAATATTTTTATTCTGGCTGAATCCTGCAGACCACAAGCTGAAAGAAACTCTCCTGACTGCAGGAATGATTGCAGTCATATTTTTAAATGCAACATCATATTTCTCCTTAAAGGAGACATATTATGTACAATTCATTTTTTGAATGTTTATATAATTTTATTGCTTCTGGAAAATGAGCTGTGCCAAAATCCTTTTGATTGTTTGATAGTTTTACGGGCACTGTGCTGTTACCTAGCAACCCATGCTAATGCTAAGCTTGAGCACATTTGATCAGCTGATTTCACTGTTGAATCTGCTGTACAATGGCTGCTGGAAAAGACAAGTGTTTGACGTTGACCTACCATCCAGAAACCACTTGCTGCATTCTTGTTTGTTATGCAGGAGGCTCTACTAATGCTTTTCATAGATGTAAGGTTGTATAATTGCACATCTGTTGCATCCATTTTCATTTAAATTTGGATTTAAAGTGACAGATGTCCTAATACAGCTAATTCTGAAAGGAGCTCCACATAGACAGAACTGAGCAGACTAAAGTCTCACTTTCAAAGAATGGTTTTATGCAAACAGTGTAATGAACAAGTTTTTCATAGCTGATAGATCACAGGTCTCCAACTCCAGTCCTGGAGGGCCAGTGCTCTGCAACTTTTAGATGTGCCTCTGCTGCACCACCTGAATAGAATAATTAGGTCATTAGCAGGAGTCTGGAGAAATGATCTACATAAGGAGGAGGTAATTAAACCATTTCATTCCAGTGTTTTTTTTAGTAACCTGTGGCACATCTAAAAACTGCAGGACAGTGGCCCTTGAGGACTGGAGTTTGACACTCCTGAGGTAGATTCAATCCTAAGCTGTTTAAAGAAGCCAAAAGGTCACCTCTAACAGAACCAAAGCTAGTTATATTTTCTTCCTTCATACCCAGCCGTATTATTCAAACACAAACTGCACTTCAGACTGGGAAAGAGGCTGTTTGGTAACATTTGTATTATAGGTTTGTATTTTCCTGCTTCTGCCATCTAGAGTTAAATATAACAATATTTCTCTGATGGTTCTACTGACCCGGATGAGGTAGGCAGCGACCAGCGTGGCGCTGCGGGAACGGCCCGCCTTGCAGTGGATGTAGACGCTGGTCCCCTGCTGCCTGTGCTGCAGGGCGAACTCCACCCCCTGATGGAGGTTGTGCAGGGTGGGGACTCCGGTCAGGTCCACGGTGCTCAGCCTCAGCTGCTCCACACCTGCATCTCGCCACTCCTGCTCCCAAACATCAGATCCTTACACTGCGCGCCTGAAACACTCTAACCTCTCAGGCTGATCCAGGGCTGTTATTTTTTAGTAGCAGGCTTTAGTCCTTCACCAACGGATCCCACTCACCTCGGCCGAGTTGCAGAAATATTTGGTTTCATACGTTTCATTCATGGTGACAACTCCCCGGACATTTTCTGTCTCCACCAGCTGCGACACAAACAACCAGCAACAGATCATATTTACCTGCTCCAATCAAAACCTGCAAATATGAGTCTATTGAATGTATGGAACAACTTTTAAAAAGTTCTGCTGATCGGTGTTCAGACCTGCTTGGTCATGGACCTGAACGGCAGCGCCCCCAGGATGACCGTGTCGTCCACCCGGTCGAACCACCTCCGGGAGGAAACCTTCTCCATGACCACATTGTAGGCCAGAGTCGGGTAGAAGAGCAGCCGCGCTGCCGCTCCGGACATGGTGGAGCTCCGAAGAACAACCAGCAGCTTCTCAACTCTGCATTACTGCCCCGCGAAGCTCCGGTTCTGTCCGTACAGCCCGTCCACACGGCGTTACACAGCGGCGTGTTTACTTCCGGTTACCCTCCGGCGTTCTCTTCGACTTCCGGAGTAAACCCTTTCAAAATAAACCCAGATTACTTTAAAAAATTAAAAAACAATAGAGACTTAGAGACTTAGACTTGACTTTATTGATCCCTTGGGAAGACTCCCTCAGGAAATTATAGTTACCAGCAGCTCACAGGCAAAAATGTGGCACACAGTAAGCATACACAAAATACAAAAAAATACAAATTAAATACAAAACAAAGAATATAAATACAACACAAAAGGAAATTATAGCAATTTGGTCGATAGATTGACCAGTGATATGGTATTGCACTGTATGGTTTGGCCTGATAAATATGGGGTTCACATTTGTAGAAAAACTACTCCTTCTTCCCTCTGTCCTGTGTCACCTCCGACCCCCCAGTGAGGAGTTGTACAGTCTGAAGGCGTGGGGGACAAAGGAGTTCTTGAATCTATTGGTCCGGCACTTGGGGAGCAGCAGTCTGTCACTGAACAGGCTCCTCTGAACTTCTGAATAAATGAACTTCAGCTTTTTCACATTTTTGATCTATAAGAAATACGATCAGAATTTTGTTACTTTTCCTTAAAGGCAGACTTGGGTGATTAAAGCAATAGTTTTTAAAGAAAATTCAGATAACAATTTTATAATTCAACAAGACAGACATGCAAGACAATGTTTACATTCCAATATCTGCATGAAATCTTCTAAAGACTCCGTCTCTGATAAAATGTTTTTAATTTTATTGAGCAAGTAAAACAAAAAGTTGAAAAATTGCTTTTTGCACTTTAAATAAATTTAAAAATATAATGTTCATGGTCTGTAACTACTTTCATCCTGAACGTTTAAACATCTCTGAACTAAATAATTCAGTAAACTTTTGATGTAGCAGTTTGTATTGCATTTGTCTTTTTCTTCGCTTTTGGTGGGCTGGATTTCACACCCGGGCCTTGAGTTTGAAAAGACTTGAGATTCAAGTACGACCCTAAACATACATCTAGAGCTAAAGTGGAATAACTTGGATCAGTGCACATTAACATGAAAGTTCAAACCCTGTTACATTTACAGTCTTCAAAAGAAAAACTGTTGCAGCAGTGAATCAGACTAAACTGTTAGTTTTTGATCAGTTTTTTCTACTTTCTAAAAGCCAGAAAAATGTGCAACTCAAAAAAAAAATTTTTAATCGAATCCACAGAATTTAAATATGAAGCAACTTCTTGGTCCCACAGTGTTGGCTTTATTTGTAAAAAGTCACAGCTGAGGAAACACCGCTTTATTTATAAAGGACAAAAAGCAGCTGAGTCTGACCCGACCTGGTTTTGGCTCGTTCCTCCTGACAGAACCGGTCGGAGGTTTGATGCTTCTTCAGTTCACAAACCTACAAAACTGACATCCAGTAATTCATTGGGGAAAAAGCATTTATTATATTTTGACCAACTTTTTCCAAATCAGCCATGATACTGAAGCCATGTGAGTTAGTTTCTACGTTGCATCAACAGTCTAATGGCCTAAAATCTTCAGGAAAGAGGAGATACACACATAAATGCACACAATTACAAACTGATTTTGGAAAGAGAAGAAAAAAAAACAACAAAAATAAACCAGTGTGAGCACAAAATTATACAAGTTGCAAAACATTCAACAAAAATTGCACAGCATTTATAGTACATATGTAACCCCTGTCTGCATAACAGAAAGCTTGATGCTAGTTCATCTAAATAATATGACAAAATGTGCATTTATAATAGAAAATACTTTATACATCTGAATAACTGGCAGACATCTACGACGGCACATTTTCCAGAAAAGAAAATTCTGAGTTGGAAAAGTTTAAAAATTGCTAGAATGAAAGTAAAAAATTTTTAGATTAAATCTCAGAAAATTGACAAACAAAAAAAAAAAGTCAGAAATTTAAAAAATATTTTCTAGAAAATTTCTGAATTTTTGGCAGAAAATGTACTTTCTACAATTGTCCTCATATACCGCCGTAGACATCTAAGAACATAGTGTTCATTTATATTTCATTTTATTAGTTCCCAACATCGTCTTCCTCCCTCACTTTACACTCAATATAAATACCTTCATTTATCCATAAAAGCAAGAAGCAGTGAACAGTAGTGACCCTCCTCTGTCCTGGAGCAGGTTTAGTTTTAATCTGAGGATTCTGTGACCCTCTGAGAGGGAGAGTCAGTGGTTGGTGGTGGTGGAGTTCAGGATGTCGTGCTGGATCTTGGGGTTGGAGGACTTGGACAGATCTCGCTGTGGAAAACAGCAGCAGGCGTGAGAACGTCAGAGTGAAGACAGCCGATGTTTAGAAGCAAATCTCTTTCATCAATCCAGAAACAATATTGAAGATGGCTTCCGATTTGGCTGTGGATTAATTTCATTTTGATACGTCAGAAAACATCTAACATCATCAAGCTCCCGCTAAAAAACATTTAAAACCTGTCTTCCGTCCACACAGTGCCACTCAAATAACTGTTACCTCCAGTTTTTATGAAACATTCAAAAATATTTGGCTTTGCAATTTAGCACCCTCAAATTGGGCCTCTGTCTCTTTAAGAAGCTCCTGATCTTTCATCAATCTCGCAAGTTATCCTGCATCATTTCATCTGGTTTTGGTGAATCTGCCGTTTTCTCAACCCTCCAGTTGGCAGCTTATACCAATTCAGGTTCAGTTTGTGCTGGAGGTTTCTTCCTGTTAAAAGGGAGTTTTTCTCTCCACTGTCACTACATGCATGCTCAGTATGAAGGATTGCTGCTGTAAAGTCAGCAACGATGCCAGGGATTTATTACCCTCACTACATGCTTTGATAACTGGGATCAGTTGAAATTCATGCAAGATCAACTAAAGTGACATTATTTTGTAGAGAACTTTAACACATTTGCTACAAGAATAAACTGAGTTGAATTATATAATTACATAATTCTGCACCATTTCCTGCTAATTCACAATTATAATGTTTGTGCTTCACCCAAAGTTAAACTTCCTGCTTCTTTCAGGTCCTGAATCACAGGCAGGGAGATTTGTTTTAATCTGAAGCATGCAGTTAAACAGGGATTAGTTAGCGCTTCGAAAGGTTTCAGGATTCCCAACAGATCTTGACTGAACTGATTCAGTGTTCACCAAGTTTAACATCATTAAACTTGGTGATGTTTGATGATTCGCTGCAGTTAAAGAAAACTGCAGCGAGGCAAATGAAGAAACAGAGGGAGAAGATATGTTAGAGAGAAAAGTTTAATTTACCACAAACTCTGAGTATGTGCTGGCTACAGAAGCCATGCTGAAGTTACGCTGTGGGGTCTGCAATGCACCACTCACGGGGGTCGCCTTGCCCTGGGCCTCGTTCTCCTTGTTGCAGTCCTGAGTCCTGGGGTGGGGGGGCTTACTGCCGCCCGGCGTCCGAGCCGCAGGAGTCTGGAGACGGACAGATCGTGTTAGAGTTTCTAAACGCTGAATTTTTACAGAAACAAACTTCAGTTTGTCTCATTCTGGATGAAATATTGATGAAAATATTGATCTAAGGAACTTTTGTTTTATTTTCCTCTATATGATGCACAAATAATAAAAAAAAAATAATAATAATATTGAAGGTGGCTTTTGATTTGGCCGTGGACTAATTTCATATTGATACTTTTTTCCATGTGAACCAACTCTAATCGGCTTTGTTTCAAAACCAACAAGAAGATTCTTCAAATCACAACAAATTCTTTGCAGTGCAATTCGTGAACTTTAAAACATTTTTCTTTTTACATACAAAAATGCATACATCTCTTTGTTATTATCAATTTAGGTCTAAAACCAAGGAAATGGACCTAAAGTTAAAAAATAAAATCAGACCATGGAGCTCAAAACCAAAGTTTTAATGTGGCAAATTAAAGAAAAATGATGCAATTTGAATATAAATCAAATAAAAAGGGCTTAATCTTTACTCATTCAGATATGTATACACTGCAAGAGACACATTTTACCAAATGAACTAGTTTCTAATGCAGCTGAAAAGTTACAAAAAAAGTTATTTATGAGTTAGTAGACTTGAAAAAAGACAAAATTAAGATATTTGCACTGGAGACCAGTCCACAAATACTTGATAAGATTTAAATTTTTACGGTAACAGCAGAGAATTGTTACAAAGAAAAGCAACATAAAATGTTTAAATTCTATAAGCTTGTTGTTTTAGTCTCATCAGTGATTGAAATATTTTATAATATTTTGACAGATCTGTCTCTTTGCCCTAAAACGGAGCGATGCAGGCAGATTAACATGCAGCTGATGCGTTAGCTTGACCTTGTTAGCGGAGAGAGGGAGGCGAGGCACGGGCGAGCGACAGACGGTCCCGTAGTGAACGGAGCGCATGGTGCTGTTGGAGGCCCCACTGGACATGCTGGAGGTGCCATTCAGCTGGCAGAGGGAGAAGGACAGGTGTTAGTGCTGGACGGGTCTCAGGTTTAAAAGAAGCGGGGTTCTAACCTTTCTGGATTTATTGGGCGTGGTGGTGCCCAGGAACCTTCGCTTGGCTGGGGTTTGCTTGGCTGGGGTTCGCACGGTGGTTCCGTACAGCATGTCCTCCTCCGTCTGTTTGCTCTTCTTTAGGTGCTGGAAGGATTTCAGCAGCAGGAAGAGTAAACACACTTCTTAAACTTGTACCAAAGCTCAAGTCAAACCTTCCTCACCCTCTCGAGTTTCTCCTTTTCCTTCTCGATCCGGTGCAGCTCCCACTGCTCTGCCACGTACTGCAGGAACATCTGACCGTTCACCAGGAACTCCCGGCCCTGCTCTTCCTCCCACGCGTCTATCTGGGCTTTCAGTTTCTTTTCCAGCTTGAAACACAAACAAACACACCACTGTATTAATGGTTGTCAGATTTCACATATTTCACATAACTCCTGATGTCATTTCTTACCTTTGGGAGGTTTTTCTGAAGCTCTGACCTTTGTTTCTCCTCTTTAAGGAGATTTCCTCCCCTGTTAGCAAACCGTGTTGGATCTGTGGCTTTCTTCTACAAATGACAGAGAA